TCTTGTGATTATTATTTGATATAAGCAATTATTCTTGTAATTTTAGTACTACTAGCTTAAGATATATAATAATGCTTTACAAAATTTTAAAAATAATATATATATTATTAAGAAATTTGATTATTTATAGTTTTTTAACTTTTTTTTTATAATATCAATAAAAAATATTATTTCTATTTCATTTTTTTATCATTAGATAATCGTGAATATTAATTTTATTATTTTCTTTTTGAGAAGATACTTCTCTATAAATTTTATCTATTTTTTATAATTTAAAAAATTACATTCTATTAATTAATTTTATTATATATAATACATATATATATATATATATATATATATATATGTAAGTTTATGATATAAAATAATTATTATATCAAGATAATTATATTTTATTATAATTTATGTCAATTAATATATATAAAATATAAATAAATTAGTATATCTTTTTATCATAATCAATATATTATTACAAAAAAATTATGTATATATAAATATAATAAATAATTATATATTACAAGAAGATAATATAATATTTAGTATATTAAAAGTTAGCTTTGTCAGAAAGTTAGATTGTTGAGAAGTTGAATTATTAGAATACTGAATTATCAGAAAGTTAAATTATTAGAATATTAAATTTTGAAAAGTTGAATTAATTGAAAGTTAAATTATCAGGATATTAGAATTTTAAATAGTTAGATATTAGGATATTGAAATATCAGAAAGTTGAATATTAGAATATTGTAAATTCTAAAATTTATTCTCAAATTATATTAAAAAGCTAAAGATTTTATTAATTATTAGATTTTTAATAGTGAGTATGCATGCTAAAATAATCATATGTCTTAACATAATCAGAAAAAATTTTAAATAGATATATATCAAATAATATCATATGATTTTTTAAGATATAAATCAAAAATAGCAAGAAATTATTTTTTATATTCTAATAAATAATATTTCTTTTTGTACAAATTTATTATTAGTTTATATATAAAATATATTCTTAATATTAATCTAATTCTTATCTTTATAATAATTTAGAAATACTATTATTTTATATCTTGCAATTTGATTATTTATCCTTTAAAAAATTATGTAATTTGATCTTTTATTATATATATTTACTGATTAATAATCAATTTAAAGAAAAATACTAAAGCAAAATAGTATAATTCAAATTAAATCAATTTGAATTAATTTGATTAAGATTTATATATAATATTATATACAAAATAAAATAAACTTTTTGAGAAAATATTCAAAAATAGAAAGAGAAATAAAAGTTAATTATAATTTTTATATTAAATACAGACTAATTAAGTTTATTAAAATTAATAATATTTATAATTATTAATATTAAGATATATATAACTATTAAAATATATACTAATATACTCATTTATTATATGTACTTATAATTTTTTTATCTCTAATATATAAGCAATAAATAAAAAATATCTTAGTATATTTAATATTAATAAATTATTTAAAGCTTCAGAAAAAGAATTTCACAAAAATTTATAGTTATTTATTTCTAATATATAGATATAATATAGTAGTTAGAAGTATAAGAATAATAATTTTTAAATTATTTATTTTTGTCATCAGTAAAATATAGAGAATTAAGTATATGTAAGAAAGAATATTTCTATTAAGAAGTAAAGAAAAACTAGTAAGCTTGATTCTGAGAAGTATAATATAAGAATAAAATTAATATATATTACTTTAACTCAAACAGTTTATAAAAAATATTTTAAAAATTTATCTAATTATAGTTATCTAATTAAAGATAATAACAAGATTAAAAGATCTGAAATAAATAATAACTAATAATAAAGTAATAAAATTATATATATTATTATTCATTATAATTACTATTAAAAAACTACCAAAAAAAAATAACTTAAATATTATTAGTTAAAATCTATATTGAATTGAAGTTGCTAAAATTTTAGCAAAAAATATATAGATTATTAATAATTTATCTTGTAGATGAGACAGATTTAAAGCTAAATATTCAAAATTCTCTCAAGTTATTAGTTAGTAAAAATTATAAAGTTGAATATTTTAAGATTGCTCAATAATTATTAAAAGATTTTTGCTTTATAAATTCTTGATAATTGAAAAAATTATAATATTATAGATGACTTATACTTATAGACTTCACTTATAATATTAATAAATATTTCTAGTATCTATTTATTTTGTATATTTATAATAATTACAATTCTTAAAATATAGATATATACTTTCTTCTAAGTAATAAATAAAGTAATATAATAATTAAGGTATTAAAAATAATTTAAAAATTCACATCTTATTGACATTCTTAATATATATTTAGTGATTAAAACAATATAAAGATTAATAATATTATAAATACTTTTTCTGATATTATATATAATAAGCAAAATTATAATATTATTTAATATATTATTCATGTAATATATATATAACTATATAATATTTATTATCTGATAATATATAATAAATTAATTCTAGTTATATATAAAAAATCAATTATAAGTTATAAGAAAGTAATTTATAATATTATTATTATCTGTTCTATTTCAAATATTATTTACTATATTTAACATAATTATTTAAAAAATATAGAGAAATAAGCACTTTAAATATATTAATATTCACCTTTCTTATTTCAAATTACTTCTATAAATTTATTAGTATCATTTTATAATAAATTAAAAAAATTAATTATAAAGAGATATAATTTAATTAGTAAATATTATCAACTATAACTAAATTATATTTTTTACTATCATTATAATTACTAAATTACTATTTCTTGATTTATTAGATATATATTATAAGATTATTAAGTTTAATAATAAAAAATAGCTGAATTTAGAAAAGATTATCTTCAAATTTTGTCAAAAATAAATTTTTGCAATTGATATTAATGATAAAATTATTAAGAAAATTCTATCTAACTCAAAAACTAATTTGAATAAGATTATTATTATAAATTTTAGGATTATGAAAAAAAAGTCACTATCAAACCTGATATTATCAAATTATAATTATATATTTTTTATTATTATCTTCTTTCTTATCAATATATTCTTCATAAGTATCTATTTAATTATAATAAATTACTAACAACTAATATTTGAGAGGAATTTTAGCAATTATTTGCAAAGACTGACTTTGAAGTATATGAATATTAGGAGATAATTAAAATACCCAAGCTTATTTAGACTCAAGAAAAAAATGAGATAAAGATATATAAGTTGTAGGTGAGTGAACTTATAGAAAGAGTATGAGATAAATACTAGATAATAGAGAATAAAAGATGATGCAGATACTATTAAAGTATTTATTATTTGTTTAAATAAATCATTGGATTTAGTTTTTAAAATAGTGATATAAATAATTTTGTATTTAATTAGAAATAATTTAATAAAGTAGCTAATTAGATGATTAAGTAATTTGTCTTTCTTTTTTTTCCATTAATATATATTTTTAATATGCTTAATGATAAATAATGATGATCAAGCATGATCTAACTCTCCCTTTCTATTAATGCATTCTAACAATCAGGCTCTTAAAATAATTCACATGTTTTGATTCGACCAATCATGAAATTTCATGTGATTTTAAAATCACATGATACGAACCGGATCGAAACACATGTTACATGATACTACTTCGCTTTAGTGGATCCCGATCCAAAGTAACGTGAAATTTTTCCTGTCCAAATCGGGGATAATCTAAGTATAGTACGATGTGTGGTATTTTACCTGTATAAAGCAATAGGATGTGGATTTAATACCCGGTACATTTAAATATAAATAATATGAAAGTGTTTCAAGCCGGCAATAAAAAATACCAACTCGACTGAGTTGTTATTTTTTGTTTCTGCTAGCCGACTCGAATCATGTGAATTTCCTTATTTATTGCTTCACACGTTAATTTTAAACCATAAACAGCTTGGAAATTTTTCGAGAACGACTTGCGCCGCATTTTAGTCAGCTTTAAACACTAATAATAAATTAATATAGGTTATATCACGGGTACTATTCAATTTAAAAAATGGCGTTCTTGTGGGTACTGTATACAGTGGCCTAGTAAATGCTATTATGACGCAGCCAACTTTCCCTAAATGCAACCTCGAAGAATGCAAACTCTCTAACTTACGTGCTTGATTAGTTTTTATCCTCTAGTTATTATACTCTCTCTATCCTACAATCTCTAAGTGGGAAACCTGGATAAAATGCATATCAATATGCCATTATAAATTGAAAATTATTATCGCATAACGATAATAAGATGGTTGATTTGCATGTTACTCGTTAGAAGTCGATAAATATTTATATTTATCGCAAACAATGAATAATGTGTAATTTTGTTTGTGTAAAATAAATTTTCGAAATTAAAAAATTCAGTATTACTTAGATTACTACCATTTCAATTCATTTTATCAGCCCATTTTTATTATTTCACTATCAATAATATTGCAGAAACAACGACGAGATAAGCTTTCGTCTAGTACTAGTTTAGATTAACGTGCATAACGTATACTATACTTGATACAAATAAATTAAATATACCCTTTTATGGCATATAAAGAAAATCATCGGAGATAATCAATACTACAATTTTGTTTTTGGTAAGGTCATCGGCTCCACACGCCAATTGAAATTTCATTAATGTACATGTATAACCTAAAAATTATAAAACCCCCCCTTAATCTCACCTTCTTTCTCCTGCCAAGATACATCATTAAACATTTGTTGATGTGTGTTTTTGTGTGTGTAAAAAAACGCTGTGTCTTGCAAAAATCATTTGGATTATTTGAAATGTTCAAAGATTCTTAAAGTCATTTCATTATTTGAAATAATACTACATAAAATAAATAACCTTTCAGGAAAAGGTTTACCCTTAAGACACGACAACCAATTTCCCATCTAGCATATACGCGCAAACAATCAACTTCTACCCAAAACTCCCATACTCGCACACCAAAACATAAAAAAATGTACATATCAAAATTCTCTCTTTTCCTAGTTACATTGCTTTCTTCTGCAGCCATCATCACCGAAGCACGTCTAGATGGAACATGGCCACCAGCAGGTGTAACACCACCAAGTAATAAATTATGGAACAAGCTAGTGAACAAGACGAAACTGACAAATGCTCCAGTATTAACTACCATGGGTGATTGTTCACAAAATCCAATAGACACATGTAATTGGTCGTGTAATAACTGTATTCAGCCCGATGATGTTTTAAGCTGTCCCACGAAAAAAGGTAATAAATACATGTAAAAGAATATGCAATAATAATATAGCATTGATAAAAAATAAATCCCCCGTTAACATTGATTTTGTTACAGATTGGGGTTTGACATTTGACGATGGTCCATCAGATTTTACTCCTAATTTACTTGATTTTCTGGATGCGAATAATGTTAAGGCGACGTTCTTTGTGTTAGGTGCTCGTGTCGTTGAAGAACCAGAACTAATAAAAAGAATGGTTGATAGTGGTATGTTTACTTTTCTTTTTCTTTTTAATTGGAAATGTAGGTACTTTAATTTACCTTAACTATTCTTTAATACTAAATAGGCCACGAAGTTGGCGTTCATACGTGGTCACACCCCGCACTAACTACCAAAACGACTCAACAAATCATTGCTGAAGTAAAATGGACAGAGAAAGCAATAAGAGCTGCGGCTGGAGTAACACCCAAACTAATGCGTGCACCATATGGCGATATAGACGACCGTGTTCGAGGAATAATGAGACAACTTGGCTATACAATTGTTATTTGGAATAAAGATAGTCGTGATTGGGTATCCGTAATTGATCCAACATTCCAACTTGCCTGGGTTGCCGGGAACTTTAGTGTATGGGCAACTGAAGATGCTCCCACCGGATATATTTCATTGGAACATGATTTGTATCAACAAACGGCTGCTCAAGGACCAAAAATTGTTCCTATTTTAAAGAATGCTGGTTGGAATATTAAAACTGTCTCCGAGTGTACTGGTTCTCAAGCTTATTTGAAAAGTGTTGGCAATAATAGTACTAATAATACTGATAGCAATAAGTTGAATTTTACCAATCCTTATTCGATAAATGCAGCTGCGTCATCTTTAAATAATGGAACACCAACCGATGATAACACTACTGATCCAGCCACCACAGTACAAAGTGTTTCGAGCGCATCGCTCACGTCAATATCAACGATATCACTGGTGGTATCATCATTAATAATAGGAATAACAAAATTATTTTTATTATGAAAAATTAGTTTTTACATTTAAACTCTCATCTCATTTATGTACCAAAATGCATTCTAGTTAGCATTTATTTATTGTAATTAATTATCAACATCAATATAGAAAAATATTACGGCAGTCTGCTGAACCTACAACGCGATAAACGAGCCAGCTCATTTTGAGTGGTGTTTTTTCTCGTCGCTGCTTCATTCAATTGAATTTTCCAATAATTTGCCAACAAGGTTTAACTTTTTTTTTAAGTGACGAGTTCCAATGCTTTTGTTATTTGAGCTACCTATTTTCTTTATATAATCGGTTGCTCACTGATTTTAATAATAATATTAACTTTCTCATATATAATTTTATCAATTATGTATTGTGTAGATAAAATAAAACAATAAGATTTAGACTGTTTGCATTATAAATTACAATATCCTGATATTATATATAATCTATAACGCAAATTATTTAAAAATAAAAATTTACTCAAAACGTGTTGATATTCTTTAATTCTTTCATTTTTATTAAATATTTTGATTATTTGTTTTTAGAACAAAATTATAATACATGGCTATATTTTATGTAACAAAATAATTTGCATTTAATTAAATAGTTATGAATATTATAAAAGAGTTAATATAAAAATTCAACAATTTATAATAGAAAAATTTATTTTACAAATTGATTATACTTGTAATCAACTAAGACAATTCAATATTATATAAAATTAAGATTTAATTTATAAATATTTACACTTATTGAAATTTTTATTAATAAAAGAGATTATAATAAAAAATAAATTTAAATGCAAAATAAAATTTGAATATTTAAAAATTTATTTAAAATTTATTTAAAATTTATTATTATTAATTTTATAAATTATTTAATACAATACAATATAATATAATAATATACAGTTAGTAATAAAATCTTCAATATCTATAAAAAAAATAATTATTATTTATTAATAAAAATATTAAACAAATACAATTAAAAGAATAAAACACTTGAATTTATAATTAAATATAATTAATAAAATATAAATTTATTTTATATAAAGATTTTTAATTATAATTTTTTTTTAGCTCTTTATAGATGTATTTTTATAATCATTCAATTTGAATTTTTCAATTATTAAATAAATATATTAATTCTTTTTATACTATAATATTATTCTTAATTAAATTATTATAACAATAAAAAAATTTTAAATTATAATTATAATATAAAATATTATTTAATATTTAAATATAAATATATATAAATATCAATTAAAT